TGTATGGGTGTACGGTATGGGCTAGCCTGCGGTGCAGCACAACAGCTTACAATCTTACACAAATCTACAGTATTCCCCCTCCCATAACTGGTCCTGTAGCACGTGCCTGAGTATTCCTTCTGAGCAAAACGCCAGTCTGGCTTGAGTTTGTAGGATTTTATCAGCTCTCCAATGTGAAATGTCACTTTAAGTTGTGGAGTCTTTCCAATGATCAGTAACAACACTTGTGGCCTGACACAGAGACCCTAACTAACTATAGGCCTGGACTCAGTCTCAAGGCGCCAACACTGAAATGAGGTGCGTGCACGATCTTAGCGACCCATGGTCTGCTTTTCATCTGCTGGTGACTCTGAACAGAACAAATGTCTCTCCAACAAGCATGCAGTATTGCAGTGTATGTTACTTTGTTCCTCTGCTCTCATCAGCATTCCTGGGAGAAATCTTCCTTTCTCTGAACAGGATCAGGGTCTTGGACATGATCAGCTTCACTTAGCTGCAGCTCTGGCTACTGAGGGATGCTCTCACACCTGGATGCCATCAGATTCTCTGCTCACATGGCTCCTGCATTCACCATCCACAAAACATGGCTGCTGTCTCTCCTCTTCCTGTTCTCTCAACTCTGTGTGAAAACCCCACCTCTTCATGAATATAGAAATATCTATGCAGTCTGAGGCTGTGTTAGGAAAACAGTGGCATCTTGTGGCCAAACCACAGAATGTCAGTCCCGAACATTTAATTTACTCCACACAATAATTTACTGCACACAAACAGTGTTCAAACAATGAGAGCTGTTTCCCCATCTCACAGCTTCATGCAAGGATGTCTTCTCTCCCCCTACGGAGCTGCTCCCAGTTCCACTGCCTGCAAGTACTACCATCCCTCTTGGCTTCTCGGAAGATCTCCTGAGTCAAGGATAAAGGATTTACAGTACCTTTAAAAAGATTTAATACCCCTTGAAATTTTCTACATTATTTCATGTTACAACCAAAAACATAAATGTATTTTATTGGGATTTTATGTGATAGACCAACACAAAGTGGCACATAATTGTGAAGTGAAAGGAAAATGATATGTTTTTCCAAATTCTTTACAAATAAATATCTGAAAAGTGTGGTGTGCATTTGTATTCAGCCCCTTTTACTCCCAAACTTTAGATTGTCTCTGCAAGATAATTTTGGGAGACTTTGAAACATTTTAAATAAAGCACCCTCAATGGCTTTTGGACTACTGAAGCTTTGTTTAAGTTTGTCCCAAGCAGCATTCAGACCTGCAGCAGGGTTGTCAACGTGAACAGCTTTGAGCGTTTTGTTACGTTCAGTATACTGAGGACCACCTGATAAGCAGATCTAGTTTTTCTGAAGTTGTGATATCTAGTTCAATGATGGTGGCTTTGAAGGTGGATTTCCATTCTTTACAGTTTTCAGGTTTGTTATTAAACTTAGTGAGACCTGTCTTGGTGAGCTCTTTAACAAACTGGTGAGCATGTATTTAACAAACTGTGACATGTCTCTGTTTTCAGACTTTGGATGCACCCAGGGCCGATGCTAGACTATTTTGCGCCCTAGGCAAGACCTGATACTTGCACCCCCCCTCTAAATTTTCCTTCCCAGCTCAAATAGCCCCCACCCCCCCTCCTGCACAAACCTCTCTTCTCAGTATAAATGACTGTTATACCCCCCCCCCCCATCATTGTGTACAGTTCCCCCAGCCTGGTACCCCACCCCCCGAACTTACAGGTGAGAAATCAGGTAGAGATGTGGGTTGTGCTCTCTCTACTTGGCAGATCTGGAGGAGTGTCTCAAAGATGTAGAGATTAAATCAGGTCATAGCTGGTGCAATTTTCTTTCCTGTGACCAGGAAGCCAACAGTTAGTGTTGATGGAGGAATCCCTTCCGTGGAGCCATTGTGTTCTCCTGGCAGGGGGAGCCATCCCTGCCAGAAGAACACAGTGATTACTGCTAGCAACTATAGTAGCCACTAGCAATAGTCACGTGTAAATTCCGATAGGCTGTATGTACCCAAGTTGATTGATCAACTTGGGTACATTCAGCCTGCTCATACATGGTGTGAATCTCGGCTGGTCCTCGACATTTACTGGGCTTTTTTGCATGCACAGTGATGTGCATTGTATGTGTCATATTGCATGCATTTTCCTAAACTTACATTTCCTTTGAGATCACTTCCATGTTCTTTGGGCTTTTATGTGCACTGTACTGCATTTTGGTGCATTTTGGTGCATTTGCATGCATTTCTGTGCATTTGCAGTGCAAAAAAATGCAGTTTGTTGCACCTTTCACTGCAGTGCACTGCAATAGTTTCAACAATGCCCATAGGATAACCTGGATTTTGGACTGTCTATGCAGTTGGAGAGTGGTCAAAAATGCATCCCACTGCATTTGGTGTGAATGGGATCTTAGACCATACAGTTGCAAGAAAAAGTATGTGAACCCCTTGGGACCTTTTACGTGGAGTTTTGCATGAATTGGGCATAAAATGTGCTCTGAACGTCATCTAAGTCACAACAATAGAAGAACACAGTCTGCTGAACATTGTATAATACTACACAAACATTAGATGTTGCCATGGTTTAATTGCACATAACATGTAAACATTCACAGTGCAGGGAGGAAAAAGTATTTGAACCTTTGGACTTAATGGAAAAATGGTTGACCCTCCTTTGGCAGCAATAACCTCAACCAAACGTTTCCTGTAGTTGCAGATCAGACCTGCACAACGATCTGGAGTCATTTTGGACCACTCCTCTTCACAAAACTGTTTCAGTGTAGCAATATTCTTGGGATGTCTGGTGTGAATCGCTCTCTTAAGGTCATGCCACAGCATTTCAATCGGGTTGAGGTCAGGACTCTGACTGGGCCACTCCAGAAGGCGTATTCTGTGCTGTTGCAGCCATTGTTTTGTTGAATTACTTGTATGCTTTGGGTCATTGTCCAGTTGCATCACCCATCCTCTGCGGAGCTTCAGTTGGCAGGCAGATGGTCGTACGTTTTCCTGCAAAATGTCTTGATAAACTCTGGAATTCATTTTCCCATCAATGACAACAATCCGTCCAGGCCCCTGAGGCAGCAAAGCAGCCCCAAACCATGATGCTCCCTCCGCCATGTTTCACAGTGGGGATGAGGTTTTGATGTTGGTGTGCTGTGCCTTTTTTTCTCCACACATAGTGTTGTGTGTTCTTCCCAAACAACTCAATCTTGGTTTCATCTGTCCACAGTATATTTTGCCAGTAGTGCTGTGGAACATCCAGGAGCTCTTTTGCAAACTTCAAACGTGCTGCAATATTCTTTTTGGACAGCAATGGCTTCCTCCGTGGTGTCCTCCCATGTAATCCATTCTTGTTTAATGTTTTCCTTATTGTAGATGTGTCAACAAAAATGTTAGCATCTGCCAGAGATTTCTGTAGGTCTTTAGCTGACACTCTGGGATTCTTCTTTACCTCATGCAGCATTCTGCGCTGTGCTCTTGCAGTCATTTTTACAGGACGACAACGCCTAGGGAGAGTAGCAACAGTGCTAAACTTTCTCCATTTGTAGACAGTCTATCTTACCGTGGACACATGAACATCAAGGCTTTTGGAGATACTTTTGTAACCCTTTCCAGCTTCATGCAAGTCAACAATTCTTGATCGTAGGTCTTCTGAGAGCTCTTTTCTGCGAGGCATGGTTCACATCAGACAGTGCTTCTTGAAACCAGTAAACCCAAAACTGGTGTGTGTTTTTTAAGGGCAGGACAGCTGTCAGCAACACATCCAATATCATCAGACTGATTGGAGTCAAGGTTGGCTCACTCCTGGCTCCAATTAGCTCTGGGAGAAGTCATTAAGCTAGGGTCTCACATACTTTTTCCTCCCTGCACTGTGAATGTTTACATGTTATGTGCAATTAAACCATGGCAACATCTAATGTTTGTTGTAGTATTATGTTCAGCAGACTGTGTTCTTCTATTGTGACTTAGATGATGTTCAGAGCACATTTTTTATGCCCAATTCATGCAAAACTCCACGTAATCCCAAGGGGTTCACATACTTTTTCTTGCAACTGTAAGTGATTTACAATAACCAGCAGTTCTTCTTTATCAGCATCATAATTCTTTTGAACCTTTTGAAGGTGGTGTAACTAAGTGTTTACCTTATCTGCTTAGTTCCCAATCTGGAAAGAATCCTGGTTCTTGCATGTTTCTACCTCACCAGAAAAGTGTTCCTATAACATTGTACTAACAGTGAAAGAGTTACCTGGTAGTCTTTGAGAAATGTATCAATTGCTTAGCTCTGTGTCTGCAGGTTGTTTGTGAACACAGATTGTATCTTAGTTGTTTGAGAAGGTTCTATAGACAGAAATCCAAATGGCATGTAGTAATGCAGAGAGATTCTAATGAATACGTATATGGTGCACAAACTGATTTGTATAACATGGGTTAATTGGAAAAATGCTGCATTAATGCTCTGTTTTAGGCTGTAGAGTACTGTGATTAGTTTGCAGCAGGAGCGAACTGACAACTCATGGGGCCCCCTTTGCAGCTATAACAGCTTCACCTCTTCTGGGAAGGCTGTCTTCAAGGTTTAGGAGCTTGTCTATGGGAATGTTTGACCATTCTTCCAGAAGTACATTTGTGAGGTCAGACACTGATGTCAGATGAGAAGACCTGGCTGGCAGTCTCCGTTCTCATTCATCCCAAAGTTGTTCTATCAGGTTGAGGTCAGGATTCTGTGCAGGCCACTCAAGTTCCTCCACCCCAAACTTGCTCATCCATGTCTTTATGGACCTTGATTTGTGCACTGGTGCGCAGTCATGTTGGACCAGGAAGGGGCCATCCCCAAACTCTTCCCACAAAGTTGGGAGCGTGAAATTGTACAAAATATCTTGGTATGCTGACGCTTTAAGAGTTCCCTTCACTGGAACTAAGGGGCCAAGCGCAACCCCTGAAAAAAAAACAACCCCACACCACAATCCCCCCTCCACCAAACTTTACACTGGCACAATGCAGTCAGGCATGTACTGTTCTCCTGGCAACCACCAAACCCAGATACGTTTTCCAGACAGAGAAGCGTGATTCATCACTCCAGAGAACACGTCTCCACTGCTGTAGAGTGCAGTGGCGGCGCGCTTTACACTACTACATCCAACGCTTTGCATTGCACTTGGCGATGTAAGGCATGGATGCAGCTGCTTGACCATGGAAACCTATTCTATGAAGTTCTCTACGCACTGTTGTTGTGCTAATCTGAAGCCCACATGAGGTTTGGAGGACTTCAGCTATTGACTCTGCAGACAGTTGGTGACTTCTGAGCATCGCTTCAGCATGTGCTGACCCCGCTCTGTTATTTTACGTGACCTACCACTTTGTGGCTGAGTTGCTGTTGTTCCCAGTTGCTTCCACTTTGTTATAATAACACTAACAGTTGACCGTGGAATATTTAGTAGCAAGGAAATTTCATGGATGGACTTATTGCACAGGTGACAACCTATCACGGTACCACGCTTGGAGTCACTGAGCTCCTGAGAGTGATCCATTCTTTCACAAATGTTTGTAGAAGTAGTCTGCATGCCTAGGTGCTTGATTTTATACACCTGTGGCCACGGAGGTGATTGGAACACCTGAATCCAATGATTTGGAGGGGTGTCCCAATACTTTTGGCAATATAGTGTACCTCCTGGTATTGAGGTGGTTATATCAGGACCATGACGGCAACTACAGTCATGATCCTGGTATTGTTTTTGTCAGCAGACAATTCTCTACAAAATACAGTGAAGGAAATAGATATTTGATCCCCTGCTGATTTTCAATGTTTGCCCACTCACAAAGAAATGATCAGTCTAAAAATTGAATAGTAGGTGTATTGTAACACAGAGAGAATAGCAACAAAAAATTCAAAATAATTGCATGTCTAACAAAATATGCACTGATTTGCATGTTCATGAGGGAAATAAGTATTTGATCCCCTATCATTCAGCAGGATTTCTGGCTACCAGGTGTCTTTCATACAGGTAACAAGCTGAGATTAGAAGCAGTTTCTTAAAGGGAGTGCTGCTAATCTCATTTTGTTACCTGTATAAAAGACACCTGTCCACAGGAGCAATCAAACAATCAGATTCCAAACTCTCCACCATGGCAAAGACCAAAAAGCTGTCCAAGGATGTCAGGGACAAGATTGTAGACCTACACAAGGCTGGACTGGGCTACCAAACTATCGCCAAGCAGCTTGGTGAGAAGGTGACAACAGTTGGTACAATCATTCGCAAATGGAAGAAACACAAAAGAACTGTCAGTCTCCCTAGGTCTGGTGCACCATGCAAGATCTCACCTCATGGAGTGTCAATGATCATGAGAACAGTGAGGAATCATCCCAGAACTACACATGAGGATCTTGTCAATGATCTCCAGGGAGCTGGGATCACAGTCACCAAGAAAACAATTGGTAACACACTATGCCGACAAGGATTGAAATCCTGCAATGCCCGCAAGGTCCCTCTGCTCAAGAAAGCACATGTCCAGGCCCGTCTGAAGTCTGCCACTGAATATCTGAATGATGCAGAGGAGGACTGGTTGAAAGTGTTGTGGTCAGATGAGACCAAAATCGAGCTCTTTGGCACCAACTCAACTCGCCGTGTTTGGAGGAGGAGGAATGCTGACTATGACCCCAAGAACACCATCCCAACTGTCAAACATGGTGGTGGAAACATTCTGCTTTGGGGGTGTTTTTCTGCTAAGAGGACAGGACAACTGTACCGCATCAAAGGGACGATGGACGGGGCAATGTACCATCAAATCTTGGGTGAGAGAACCTTCTTCCCTCAGCCAGGGCATTGAAAATGGGTTGTGGATGGGGTGTTCCAGCATGACAATGACCCAAAACACACAGCCAAGGCAACAAAGGAGTGGCTCAAGAAGAAGCACATTAAGGTCCTGGAGTGGCCTAGCCAGTCTCCAGACCTTAATCCAATTGAAAATCTGTGGAGGGAGCTGAAAGTTCGAGTTGCCAAACGTCAGCCACCAAACCTTAATGACTTGGAGAGGATCTGCCAAGAGGAGTGGGCCAAAATCCCTCCTGAGATGTGCGCAAACCTGGTGGCCAACTACAGGAAACGTCTGACCTCAGTGATTGCCAACAAGGGATTTACCACCAAGTACTAAGTCATGTTTTGTGAAGGGCTTCAAATGCTTATTTCCCTCATGAACATGCAAATCAGTGCATCATTTGTTAGACATGCATTTCTTTTGAATTTTTTGTTGCTATTCTGTCTCTCAGTGTTATAATACACCTACCATTCAATTTTTAGACTGATCATTTCTTTCTGAGTGGGCAAACATTCAAAATCAGCAGGGGATCAAATACTTATTTCCTTCACTGTATAAGTAATCCTAGCAGCTAAACAAGTGCGGCAAAAGTGGGTTCCCCCCAGCTTCTACCTTTACTGGACTCTCCCGAGCAATCAGGGAGCCTGGTAAGGATTCCACCAGAAGTGTCGGCTCTCCGTAACACAGTGAGAGAAACTGATGTTGTTCCTCCTACTGTGTGATGTCACAAACTGGAAGTGAGGAGCATTTTGTCACTTAAGTTTTCAGTTCCTTTGTTTACAAGCTGTAGCTGGCTTATGTAACAACAGATCAAACAGGTCTCAGTTTAATCTGCTGCTTTGGAGGCCAGAGAAGAGCTCAGAGATCTCACAGATCCCAGATCTCTCTATAAAGAGGACCTGTCATGGCTCATGCTATCAAAGGTATGTTGTTCATCCCTTGTGATAGCAAAAATTGATAAGAATAACTAACTACAGGCATACCTCGGTTTACAAATTTCATGCGTTCTGCAGGACTTTTCGTATTGCGAAACATTTGTAAATCGAAACGCGGTTTCCCATAGGAATGCATTGAAAACCAATTAATCCATTCCGGAGGTCAGAAAAAAGTAAAAAAATAAGTATTTTATCTGTTCAGAACTCTTTATAAAGTGCACTTGCCTACTTGCCTACAGGGCACTTATACCCCCTTCCTGGCCAGGCCAGTTTTCAGCTTTCAGCGCTGTCGCACTTTGAATTACAATTGCGTGGTCATGCAACACTGTACCCATATGAAATTTTTATCATTTGTTTTGAGACATATAGAGCTTTCTTTTGGTGGCATTTAATCACCTCTGGATTGTTTATTTTTTGCTAAACAAACCAAAAACAACTGAAAATTTTTCTTAGTTTTTGTTTATAACATTTTGGAAATAAGTGATTTTTCTCCTTCACTGATGTGCGCTAATGAGGCTGCAGTGATGGGCACTGATAGGCTGCACTGATGGGCACTGATAGGTGGCAATGATGGGCACTGATGAGGAGGCACTAGTAGGTGGCACTGATGAGCATTGACAGGCATCACTAATGGGCACTGAAAGGCAGCAGTCATATATGGCACTGATAGGCGGCACTGACAGGCACTGATAGGCAGCACTGGTGCGCACTGACAGACGGCACTGACTGGACACTGATAGGTGGCACTGATTGGCAGTACTGATAGGTGGCACTGACTGGCATTGATAGGTGGCACTGACTGGCACTGATAGGTGACACAGAAAGGCAGCTCAGATGGGTACTGACATGTGGCATTGATGTGCACTGGTAGGCACTGATATGTGGCATTGATGAGACACTGATGGGCACTGGCAGGTGGCATTGATGCACACTGACAGCTGGAATTGATGGGCACTGACAGGTGGCACTGCTGGGGCTACACTGATCATCAGTGCCCTGATGATCAGTGTAGATGTCCCCTCTGAGGAATGCCGATTACCAGCTCTCCTCTCCTCTTGAGCTCTCAGCGTGACAGCCCGTGAGGAGAGAAATGCCGATAACCGGCATTTCCCTATTTACATGTGATCAGCTGTGATTGGAAACAGCTGATCAGATGACTGAGCCGACATCTTCGGCTCTTTCCATTGATCGGTGATCCGCTTTGCCCGAGGGACACAGCGGATCACCGATTGCAGAGCTGCGCCCTCCCAGAGCAGTTAGAGTGGGAGGACATCATATGACATCCTCCCAGAATGAGAGAACCGCCTTGCGCCCCTCATTGCCTTATATGGCGGGTGGGAGGCGGTTTAAAGGCATAAATACTGTACAAGGACATGATTAAAAATTAATTTGCATGCATTGAAAAACCAATTAATCTATTCTGGAGGTAAAAAAAGTCAAAGAAAGTTTTATCTGTTCAAAACTCTTTATAAAGTGCACTTTAAAGGCATCAATACTATACAGGGATATGCTTAAAAAACTATTTGTAAATGCACTGAAAACCAATTAATCCGTTCCGGAGGTCAGAAAAAAGTAAAAAAAAGTCTTATCTGTTCAAAACTCTTTATAAAGTGCACTTTAAAAGCATCGTACTGTACAAGGACATCATTAAAAAAAAATCATAAATGCATTGAAAACCAATTAATCCGTTCATATTGCAAAAACAATTTGTAAACCGAGGCATTATTATTTTCAATGGATTTTCATTCCTAAACCAAAAATTCCGTCAACCGAGGCGTTCGCAAACCGAGGCACGCCTGTATAGGTACAGTGTAAAAAAAAAAAAATTAAGTGACTAATAAAATGCATTTTTTTTAAACGCCCCTGTTCCCCCGTGCTCATGCTTAAGGCGAATGTAAACGGTGATTGGACCACACATGTGGGTATCACTGTGAATGACAGAGCGAAAGCAATAATTCTAGGGTCAGACCTCCTGAGTAACTCTAAATTGGTAACCTATGGAGGTTTTTAGGTACTGTAGTTTGTCGCTGCTCCACAGGTGTGTACAATTTTAATGCAAGACATATTTGGTATTTATTTACTTTCCGTAATATCATCTTGTATAGTTTACCAATAATTAGATATTATATTATGTTTGTGTTCACTAAAATTCATTAAATTGAATTTTTCCTCCAAAAACTTGCATTTGAAAAACCGCCATGCAAATACCATGTGACATAAACAATTGCTACAGCCACCATTATAGTCTCTTCGGCCTCTGCTTAACCTCTTGCCGTCCGCTGCTGTTTATAAACGGCAGGACAGTAGCACTCCAGGGGCGGGTTGCCGTTCATAAACGGCACCCGCCATTTCTAGCTGTGTGCACTCCCTGGGAGCGCGCAGCACCGCGATCCGGTGCTCGCTGTGTCCTCCGGACACGTGAAACACCGATCGTCAGACGGGTCCCGATCCCGATCATGTGATCACTGATTGGCCAATCAGTGATCACATGCAAAGTAGTAAGCAAGATGTCACTTGTGACATCATTGCTTACTACGTGTGAAATCTGTGAATGATCACAGAGGTCACATGGTACAAGGCTATTCACAGCAGCCTTGTACCATGTGACAAGCTGTGACCAATCACAGCTCACTCGGTAGTTCTCAATGGCTGAAAGAATGCAGACAGAGAGAAAGAGAAATTATTGCTTTTACATCCTATATGGGTGTAAAAGCAATCACTGT